TTTTTTTTTTTTTTTTTTGGTAAAATCACGTTTGGTAACGATTGAAATTTTAATTTTAATCTAAATCAAAGTTAACAATTAATTTTAATAACATATTTCATGAAATCCATAACTGTTTAATTTTCATTAAAATTTACTAAAAATTTGATTTTATTCTCCACCAAACAGGGGCAAAATCAAAATAAATTTGAATTTCGAAATATACTAATTTTAAAAATTCTCCAACGATTGTACGCTAATCGAATCTACAAATTGCTTATATCATTTCGAAGTTTATTTCAAGAACTACATTATGGACATGTCGAATAGTTCAAACATATATCGAAAATAGTTAAAAATACGTTAAACGTGAGCCTTTAAAAAGACGTCTAACTCTCATTTAAAAAAACTTAATTATTTCATTAACATTTATTATTTTTGAGTTACAAATTTTTAAATGTAATTTTCATCATTTAATTAGGAAATTTTCAAAAAATTTCGAAATTTTACATCTGAAAAAGTCATATCCCAAAGATATACTCCTTAGAAAATTAGATCCTTTGGCCTCTATTTGGGTGGGATCCATCAGAATGAATAGAATGACAAACTTAAGTAAACTAATAGATGTAATGACGGAGCTGCTTGGTCCATCACAAATCCCTTATATATGCAATCCTACATTCTGATAATAGTTTTAGAAAATCTTCACTCTATTTTTATTTATATATTTATTATTATCATTATTATTATTTTCAAACAACAGTGGTATGTTTGATAAGGTGTATGTAAAATAGATGACAGTGATAACAAACTAAAAATTGGCTAAACTCTTGTCCATTCTTCCATTCATTACTGCTTGATATGACATATAATAACATACACTTATTAGTTGCACACCTGATATGCTGATGTTGCAGCACCGAAGATAAAATCCTGGGGAAAACTAGAGCGTTCAACCACAATTTCGGATGGATCCATTGGAATGAGTGGGATGAGATATTGTAGTTAGCTGGGAGAGGTGTGTGATTTCTCTATTCCATGCACTCTATTTATAGATGATCTGGATTTTAAATACTTATATCATACAATTAGACAACAAGAATAAAGTAAGTATAATCTAGAGGGCAAGGTATTAGTACTTTTCTTCATTCTACTCAAAAGTAAATACAAGTACTAGGAAAAGAATATGAGTTCAACTTTAAGTCATTATATCTTCCTTCTCACTACTTCTGAGGACCTTTCTTTTATTCTCCATGTGAGGCATCTTGAGTTGATTTTTATTTTTTGTTTAATGTTATTTTTCTATTTTGGTTACTATTTGTAAGACTAACTCCATAACTTTTTGATTGTGTAAAGAGTACCTCCTAACTTTTTGAGTTGATTATGATTTCTTGTTTAAATTGATAGATAATTCCAAAGATATTTACAGACAAGGCTACCTAACGCACACAAGCTTACAATAAACAAGAAAATTACATTTTTTGAAAATTTTAAAAAAACTTAAATTTATTCACATTTTCATTTTTTATATTTAATAAAGAAGTAGAAATACACTATCAAATAAGAATAACAAAACTGAAAACTCAATATTTTTTCCTCCCTAAACTTAAAATAGACATTGTCCTCAATATCTTAAAATATAATCTAGCACATAAAGGGGCACGGAAGAAATGAAGAAGATAAACCCTGAATTTTTCTGTTTGATATTGAAAGTAGGCTTTTTGAATTCTTTCATTCCATTCTTTAGCTTGTTAAGCTTCATCTTGTTCGATGTCTCTATATCTTTGAAAGAAGACAAATATAAGACTAAAAAAAATTAAGTTAAAAATTTATAATGTAGTGTGTATGATAAATAGTTTTTAGGTCGGTAGAACCTTCAAAAATGTGTCACGTGTATTTTCTACCGTTTTCACTCAAATATGTGACTTTCTTTTAACAGTCTTAATATAAATATGATGAGCTTCTTATTGAAACACAAACATCCTCAAAACTAATGCACATTAATAGACTATATGAAATACAAATACAGAAAGCATAATAAATAAAATGGTAAGAAATTTGGTTGCCTCCCAATAAGCGCTTAATTTAAAGTCATTAGCTAGACTTTTTCAAAAGTGAGCCATGACACTGCTCAATTTGACTTTGTTCCATATTGCACACATACTCCAAAATCGTACTTTTCCCTTGTGCATACAATATGACTTGCCGAAATTGCCCAATTCAAAGTCAACTAAGAATAATTCAATTTCTTCATTGACTTTAATCAAAAAATCAATGAAATTGGTGGTTTGCATGCTAATCCAATCTTCTTTGAATGCCACTAATTCATTTTGCTCATCCGTGATTAATTTATTTGTTTCTACATGTTCTTCTTCTTTACTTCGTTCCTCGGGTTGATTAATGAAAAGATCCTCCATTGGGATGTTATTTGGCTAATTTGAAATTACTTAATCTTCATTCCTTTTAAAGTTTTGCAAGATGATATCTCCCGTAACTATTTCACATTCAACGTCTTGTTCTTCATAAGAATCATCAAAGATAGCATTCCTTACTTCCTCTAGAGTAGCCACTAATAAGAAATTTTTAGTATAATGCAAAGCACCACAATATTCACAGGTCGATCTAATCTCATCCTAAACATTAGATTTGATATTTAGAGCTTGTTTGGTAGAAATTAAAATCGGATTAAAATTAAAAAATTAGCCGTTATTGTTGAATTTTATTAGATGGGTGAGACCCAATAACGGCTATTTTTTCAATTTTAATTGGATTTTGAGCTCTCCCAAACANCTCCAAAGAGTACGTTACTTTCATTTAAAGATCAATATTGTGAATTTTTGGATTAATTATCCCAATAGTCACTGAACTTTACCAAAAGTTTCCACAGGTCACTGAACTTTAAAAATTACGTGGTTAGTCACTCAACTTTTGAAATTGCAACTCCAAAGGTCACTGAACTTTAAAATTCACTCCATTCGTCACTGAACTTTGCAAAAGATTTCTATAGGGTCACTGAACTTTGCAAAAAGTTTCCCAAATGGTCACTGGATTCAGTGACCTTTGGGGTTGCAGTTTTGAAAGTTCGGTGACTAACCACATAGTTTTTAAAGTTTAATAACCTGGTGGAAACTTTCGGTAAAGATCAGTGACTATTGGGGTAATTAACCCTGAATTTTTGATCTCTTGCTTCTTTCATTCCCTGCCAATGAAGTAAACAAAAACAAGTAGATCAATTGAAAAGAAGTGAGAAGAAAATCAAACAAAAGAAAGAAACAATTAAAACCAATATTAATTAAAAATAGTCCCCTACAATAGCGCTAAAAACTTGTTGTCAATTTTTTGTCCTACAACTGTAAGGGTCGTGAAAAGTAATATATTGGACTAATGGATTCAGATATCATCCCACAAGGACCACTATCTAACATATATTAAATTATTCCTAACTTCAATTTGATCGAAAACAAATAATAATATTTGTGATTACCATCTAATTACTCAAACCAAATTAAATTGTCTAACGTACACAATTTATCGAATTTGTGTTTTAAAATTATGAATGTGGATGTTGAGACGTATAATTTTACCAATGGATCCATTTAATTCGCCAATCAAGATTCATTACTATTGTAGTGTTCAGTTGAATTTTTCTAAAGTATTCAATTTAATCTTCTCGAGTTCTCATTAACTCTATTTAACTAATTCAATTCCATATCTCTATGTGAATCGATCTTAGTTAAACGAAATATTAGTTATAAGAATTTATCTAATGACCGCAATAATTAGTATAAATATCTCTACACGTTATATCAAATTGCTGACTTTTACTATATGGTCAAAATTTAATACTTACCTCTTAATTTGTAATGGATTCACAAAATCATTGAATAATTGGCCAAATAATTAAAAGTATTAAATTCATGAATAAAATCAACGCATATACATTTAAAGAAATATAATCTTGAATAAAAGAAATAAAGAGTTATACATAGATTACATTGTTCGCCCTACCTATAAATTTAACTACTCATAATAATGAAAGAAAAAGAAATAGTATATAGTTCAAACCCGAGTTTTGAAATCTTCGTCGAGAGGTTTGATGCAGCTTTTGAGTGTTTGTACTTTAGTCTCCAAACTTTGGATCTTACCATTTTTTGCCATTTTCCAAACTTTGGATCCTGCCCTTTTCGCCAATTTTTTCTTATTTCTCTTAATTCCACTTCTATTATTCGAGTTTCACATAATAGACGAAATATACAATAAATTAGGCTTTAATTGTTCAAAAAAAAAAACCATTAAATTCTATATTTTTAGGTCTAAATAAGCGTATAAAATACATTTTATCAACACACAAAGTTGTATGAAAAGCTT